GGACAATAATGGAGCCGCAGCAGCAGGCTTGACCACGTCAGTAGGAAAGGGCGACAAGTGGACCAATCAAGGAGAGGGGCGCGTCATCGCGAAGCCAGCGAGGATCAAGCAACCCAACAGGAGATTCGTGGGCCCGTAATGGGTAAACTCTACTTGAGGCTGGAAGATGGTGAGGAACAACATCCGGGCTTGGATCACGGAACGGCATGGCTGGCTTTTACCTTCTTCCTTCTCAAGTTGTATTGATAGAGCAGTGTAGCGCGTGCGTGTGTGACTGTAATCTTTCCTTCTTGTGAGAAATAGATCGAGACCCTAACAGGCAGCGATGGAGACGAAAGGGGATATCGTTCAGGGGAAAAGGATAGTGATGGGGGGTTCACGTCTGTCCACTGGAGATAAAGAAAGAAAAGGCAGTGGGTGGGCGGGTGGCGAGGCTCAGCGAGCTGTGTAATCAGCCGATTGAAATTAATCCGTTGAGATAAGTTTGCAACCGGCAGCACCCGTATTCGTGAAGAAGAAGAAGAAGAAGAAGAAGAAGAAGATTCTAAATGCATTGCAACCACGCGTAAGTCTCACTCTTGAACTTTTAGAGCAATCACGCAATAAAATTCATATGACTTGGAATCAAGGATGTGAAATGACCTTGCGATTAGTACAGGTCAAGATGAATCAGTGTGAAGAAAATTCCACTCGGAATGTAAAGTAACGGGAAACTCTCCTTGCAAGTGTCAGCGTCCATACTTAACTTCTTGCAAGTTTCCGCCGGTCACTGATGATGCAGCCATCACCCCTATATTTGTTCGACCTCGGCACGTGAATGAATTGCGACATTCTCTTTTGTAGTATCGTTTTCTAAGGACTAGATGCTCACTACCTCGTTAATATTTTGCATGCAATTGGCAATTGGTGAAGTGAAGGAAAGTTTGGACCATGAGAGCGCTCGGTGTTATCCGGCTCACCATGAGATGGTGGGTCTTCTTCTTTCTCTCCACCTTGCCTTGGACCGCTCTCTCGGAAGGTGGTGAGCGCGGGAGCGTCATGTGGCGCGGCGACTCTTTCGCCGTGGAGGACGCTTCCTCTTCTTTCCTGGCATCGCCCAGCGGCAACTTCTCGTGCGGATTCCGCCAGGTGGCCACGAACGCCTACACGTTCGTTATCTGGTTCACGGCCTCGGCCGACGCCACCGTTGCTTGGACGGCCAACCGCGACGCCCCTGTCAATGGTAGGGGCTCGCGAGCCGAGCTCCGGCGTGATGGGTCGCTGGTGCTGCAGGACTTGGACGGCCACGTCGTGTGGAACACCAACATCAGCACCACGAGCGCGGACCGCGCGGAGCTCCTCGACTCCGGCAACCTCGTGCTGTTCGACGAGTCCGGGCGCACGCTGTGGCAGAGCTTCGACTGGCCCACGGACACGCTCCTCCCGGGGCAGCCCATCACGCGGTACCGGCGGCTGGTGTCGGCGTCAGCCAGGGGCCTGCCCTACTCCGGCTTCTACAGCTTCTACTTCGACAGCAACAATATCCTCAACCTCATGTACGACGGCCCGGAGATCAGCAGCAACTACTGGCCGAACCCCTTCAGCAAGTGGTGGGAAAACGGCCGGACGGCGTACAACAGCACGCGCTACGGCAGCCTAGACGTGCGTGGCCGCTTCTCCGCCAGCGACAATCTGCAGTTCGACGCCTCCGACATGGGCGCCCACGGCGTCATGCGGCGCCTCACACTCGGCTACGACGGGAACCTCCGCATGTACAGCCTCGACGTCTCCGGCGCGGGAACGTGGCAAGTCACGTGGGCGGCCCTCTCAAATCCCTGCGACGTGCACGGGATCTGCGGCCGGTACGGACTGTGCACGCAGGGGTTGGGCGGTGCCGGGGCGCCGGTGTGCTCGTGCCCGGAGGGGTTCGTCGTCGCCGAAGCCAGCGACTGGAGCAAGGGTTGCCGGCGCACATTCGACGTGCGGTGCGGCGAGGACGTCTACTTCGCCAAGATGCCAGGCGCGGACTACTCGGGCTTCGACCTCAACTACACCAAGGCCCTCACCTATCACGAGTGCCGCCAGATCTGCCTCGACGACTGCAACTGCGAGGCGTTCGGCTACAAGCACGGCGGCGGCGGCAAATGCTACACTAAGATCGCCCTCTGGAACGGCCGCCTTCCGGACAGCTATCAGGTCATCTACCTCAAGGTGCCACGCCGTGTCGGGCACCTGGACCCCTCCGTGCTGCACTTCGGCGGCCACGCGTGCACCGTGCTCGAGGTGAACGCCAGCAGCAACAGCTCCTCGTACTCGCACCTGCCGGCCGCACACAGCAAGCTCAACTTCGTCTACTTCTACTCCTTCCTGGCCGGGCTGTGCGTCATGGAGGCCATCTTCATCGCCGCCGGGTATCTGTTCGTGTTCCGAGCGGACACGGCGGCGCGGCGGATCCGCGACCAAGGGTACAGCCTGGTGCTCGACCACTTCAAAAGGTTCACGTACGACGAGCTGTCGGCGGCGACCTGCGAGTTCAGCGATGAGATCGGGAGGAGCGCGTTGGGGGCTATTTACAAGGGTGTCTTGGATGACGGCCGGAGCGTCACAGTGACAAGGCTAGAGGAGGTGATGCAGGCCGACGAGGTGTTCCGGTCGGAGCTGAGCGCCATAGGGCGAATCAACCACATGAACCTCGTCAGGATATGGGGCTTCTGCTCCGAGCACTCGCACCGGCTCCTCGTCTCAGAGCACGTCGACAACGGCTCGCTCGACAAGGCCCTCTTCCTCCGCGGCGCGTCGTTGGGGTGGCACGCGAGGTACGGGATCGCCGTCGGCGTCGCCAAGGGGCTGGCATACCTCCACCACGAGTGCCTTGAGTGGATCGTGCACTGCGACGTGAAGCCCGAGAACATCATGCTGGGCGCCGACCTGGAGCCCAAGATCGCCGACTTCGGGCTCGCGGAGCTGCTGAGCCGCTCCCGGGTGCAGGGTACCAGGGGGTACATCGCACCGGAGATGGCGCTGAACCTTCCCATAACGGGCAAGGCCGATGTGTTCAGCTTCGGCGTCGTGCTGCTGGAGCTGCTCCGTGGGCAGAGGGTGTGCGACTGGGCGGTGGATGCAGGAGATGAGGAGGTGCTGCGCATGGACTTCCGGCGGCGCGTCGCGCTGCTTAGGGAGGAGACGAGAGATTTGCAGGAGGCGTGGCTGGAGGAGTTCGTCGACGCGCGGCTGCACGGCGATTTCAGCTACCTGCAGGCAGCCACAATGCTGGAGTTAGCGGTGTTGTGCGTGGACGACGATCCGAGAAGGAGGCCTAGCATGGACGCCGTCGTGCAAACGCTCCTCTCGACACAGGATGTCATGCCGACGTCCGTGCGTCATGCCCATGCGGCGTCTCCTGACCAAGAGATCAGTCACATCGATCCCATGGTCTAAACGTCACACGATTACCATCTAATTAAGAGCATCCAGAACAAACACATAGCAAAAGTGAACCCCTAAACGTCTACGGAAGGGTTCAGTTACGTCCGCGGACAACGACTGGTCACCCTCATCACAACCACACTCTTCATTTGACGATTTCCATTTTCATACAAAGCCATGTAACATCCATGATCTACGTACATAGAACATTGTAGGAAGTAGCAAACTAGCCAATTACCACCTACACTACTAGTCATGAGATATGTCGATGACGTCCGTGTCATCGATCCCATGGTCTAAACTTCACACGATTTGCATCTAAGAGCATCCAGAACCACACATAGCAAAAGTGAACCCCTGTTGGCGGAGTAAGCGCATGTGTAGCCCGAGTGCGATCCTTAAATCGCAGGCGTACAAGCCACTGCCGCACCACCCCGACGGCCCGGCGGATCAGCCCGGCCTCCACTACGCCCTTCGCAACTCGGTGGCCGACGTCGCCATCGATGTGGAGGACGACTGGCTCTACAGTAGCGACGTCTACAACGACGATGACTAGGCGGCATGGGCGACGTGGGCGACGCGTGGACAGCGAGGAGTTCGCCGGTTTAGATTTTAGGTTTTAAGTTTCGTTCAATATATAGTAAAAATCGTAAATATTGAATGAAATTTCATATGTATGACCCGGCCTGTGTGATGTTCTAGTTTGAAATGTGTTCTAATTTTCTTCAAGCATTTTAGATCAAATTCGTTAAAAAACAGTTGCCCATAAAGGAGGAAAAGTAATTTGTTAGCACTCGGCTTACCTCTATGCCATGCGCAACAGCGGGCTCTCGTCCTTTTATTTTGGCCACGTAGCGGCCCCCTGTGGGTCGCTGTCGCAGATGAAAACCGAGTACTTGGCACTCGGCTTACACCCTGGCACCATTAACATGGGCCAACTGTCACTTGCTTTTTTTTTTGCTGTGGGCTGCTGATTTCGCCTTGGCCCATAGGTTTGCCGAGCCCCGACAAAAGGCACTCGGCTTACGTCTGTATGCCGACAGGATGTAAGCCGAGTGTGTTAGGTCGAGTATCACACCCGGCGTAGCCGTTGCCGAGGTGAATTCAGCCTTCGCTAGGTGCTTTGAACACTCGGCTTAATATCTTTTTCTTGTAGTGTCCTCCACATCGTGCATCACCGCCTGGATCTCCATCCGGCACTCCGGCATCAGGAGCTCGTAGTACGTGATCTTGCTGCGGACCATGGCGGCATCGGCGGCAGCGGACCTCTGACTCAAAGTGGAATAGAGAGGGGGGAAGCAATGAGAATAGGACGGGGCTAGGGCTGCGTCACTGTCCAGTTTAAATAGACGAACTTGGTCCCTCGGGCGGCTCATCAGAGCAGCAACATGAATGCGTCCTCACCTAATCGGAGGAGGAGCCTGTCGGGTGACTTGTTTTAGCATGGGCGCATCTGTCAGTCCGATGTGGCGGACACGTCCAGGCGTCCCCATATCCACCCCACATATGGGTTGTGTATGGGGGAGGCCGGTCAGCCCAGACGTTTGAGCTGCGTTTTCCAGGTCCGGTTGGGTGACAATTTTCTGTCCGAGCAGTGACCATGCAGGCCGCCCGAATGTTTGGGGGGGGGGGGGTATGGGGTTTCCAGTTGTAGATGCTGGCTTCCTTCCATTGAGAATCTCAATTTTGGCAATTCTATGCAATTCCATTTTTACTTTTCTTACGATCAATTCATATGGGTCATTTATTTTGTTTTTAGCGAAATTCATTCTTTTATGTTGTTAAACTGCTGTGGAAATTCTTGCCTCCATTTTGCCGGCCTCCTGTTTGATCTCCACCGGCGCAACACTACAAGATGAATGAAGAGGAGGAAGAGCAGAAAATTAGAAATGTTATGAGCTCCAATGGGAATCTATCTCTGGCATATAGTCTTCCAATCTGTTCCCCGGTTGTTTTTTGAATGGGAAAGCCTCTCTAAATGGTTGAATAGACTGCACCCTCTGCTACCGCCACGTGGCAAAACCTAAGCCGAGTTCTATTGGTCTAGAACTCGGCATAGATGGTATAATCCAAGTGTATTTTGTTTGCCGACTTAAGAAAAAGGGTTTCCCCCCGCTTTATATTATAAAGCAAACATCCGATACATCCAGCTCGCTAGGGCCGCAACACAGATAAACCAAAAAGAAAACAAAAGAAAATAAAAGAGAAAAGAATGCCAACACCGGCAGATCAACGAAAAAGGAACACCGGCAACCGCTGCACCCTCCGACGAAGTGCCACTGCGCTCCCGGCATCTCGAAGCGCCTCGCACCAAGCTGTTGGAAATATGCCCAAGAGGCAATAATAAAATGGTTATTATTATATTTCCTTGTTCATGATAATTGTCTGTTGTTCATGCTATAATTGTATTGACCGGAAACCATAATACATGTGTGAATACATAGACTACAACATGTCCTTAGTGAGCCTCTAGTTGACTAGCTCGTTGATCAACAGATGGTTATGGTTTCCTGACCATGGACATTGGATGTCGTTGATAGCGGGATCACATCATTAGGAGAATGATGTGATGGACAACACCCAATCCTAAGCATAGCACAAGATCGTGTAGTTCGTTCGCTAGAGCTTTTCTAATGTTAAGTATCATTTCCTTATACCATGAGATTGTGCAACTCGCGGATACCGTAGGAGTGCTTTGGGTGTATCAAACGTCACAACGTAACTGGGTGATTATAAAGGTGCACTACAGGTATCTCCGAAAGTATCTATTGGGTTGGCACGAATCGAGACTGGGATTTGTCACTCCGTATGACGAAGAGGTATCTCTGGGCCCTCTCGGTAATGCATCATCATAATGAGCTCAGTGTGACTAAGTAGTTGGTCACGGGATCATGCATTACGGTACGAGTAAAGTGACTTGCCGGTAACGAGATTGAACAAAGTGTTGGGATACCGACGATCGAATCTCGGGTAAGTAACATACCGATAGACAAAGGGTTTTGCATACGGGATTGATTGAATCCCCGACATCGTGGTTCATCCGATGAGATCATCATGGAACATGTGGGAACCAATATGGGTATCCAGATCCCGCTATTAGTTATTGACCGGAGAGGTGTCTCGGTCATGTCTACATGGTTCCCAAACCCGTAGGGTCTACACACTTAAGGTTCGGTGACGCTAGAGTTGTTATGGGAAATAGTATGTGGTTATTGAATGTTGTCCGGAGTCCCGGATGAGATCCCGGACGTCACGAGGAGTTCTGGAATGGTCCGGAGATGAAGAATTATATATGGGAAGTCCAGTTTCAGTCACCGGAACGATTTCGGGGGTTATCGTATTGTACCGGGACCACCGGAAGGTGTCCGGGGGTCCACCGGGTGGGGTCACCTGCCCCGGTGGACCAAGTGGGCTGAAAAAGGGAGGGAACCAGCCCATAGTGGGCTGGTGCGCCCCCCCCCAAGGGGCCCAAGGCGCCTAGGGCACCAAACCCTAGGGTCTGGGGGGAAACCCTAAGGGGGCGCCCCCCTTGGCTTGGGGCCAAGCCCCCTCCCCTTGGTGCGCCTCCCCCCCTCTAGATCCCATCTAGAGGGGCCGGGCCCCTTCCCCCTTTCTTCCTATAAATAGAGAGGAGGACGGAGGGCAGCAGCACCACATCCAAGGCGCAGCCCTCCCTCTCTCCCACATCTCCTCCTCCTCCGTAGCGCTAGGCGAAGCCCTGCAGGAGAACCACGAGCTCCACCACCACGCCGTCGTGCTGCCGGAGTTCTTCCCCAACTTCTCCTCCCCCCTTGCTGGATCAATAAGGAGGATAGGTCCCCGCTCTGTACATGTGTTGAACGCGGAGGCATCGTTGTTCGGTGCTTGGATCGGAATCAACCGCGATCTGAATCGATGCGAGTACGACTCCCTCATCCACGTTCCTTGTAACGCTTCCGCTTAGCGATCTTCAAGGGTATGAAGATGCTCTCCCTCTCACTCGTTGCTAGCATCTCCTAGATTAATCTTGGTGATACGTAGGATTTTTTTTTGATTTACTACTACGTTCCCCAACAATGGCATCATGAGTTAGGTCTATGCGTAGATTCTATGCACGAGTAGAACACAAGTAGTTGTGGGCGATGATTTGTTCAATATGCTTACCGTTACTAGTCTTATCTTGATTCGGCGGCATTGTGGGATCAAGCGGCCCGGACCGACCTTACACGTACACTTACGTGAGACAGGTTCCACCGACTAACATGCACTTGATGCATAAGGTGGCTAGCGGGTGTCTGTCTCTCCCACTTTAGTCGGACCGGATTTGATGAAAAGGGTCCTTATGAAGGGTAAATAGCAACTGGCATATCACCGTTGTGGATTTGCGTAGGTAAGAAACGTTCTTGCTAGAAACCCATAGCAGACACGTAAAACATGCAACAAAAAATTAGAGGACGTCTAACTTGTTTTTGCAGGGTATGCTATATGATGTGATATGGCCAAAGGATGTGATTAATGATATATGTGATGTATGAGATTGATCATGTTCTTGTAATAGGAATCACGACTTGGATGTTGATGAGTATGAAAACCGGCAGGAGCCATAGGAGTTTTCTTAATTTATTTGATGACCTGCGAGTCATAATAAACGCCATGTAATTACTTTACTTCATTGCTAACCGTTAGCCATAGTAGTAGAAGCAATAGTTTGGCGAGACGACTTCATGAAGACATGATGATGGAGATCATGATGATGGATATCATGATGTCATGCCGGTGACGATGGTGATCATGCCACGCCTTGAAGATGGAGATCGAAAGACGCAAGATGATATTGGCCATATCATGTCACTTTATGAATTGCATGTGATGTTTATCATGTTTGCATCTTATTTGCTTAGAATGACGGTAGCATAAATAAGATGATCCCTCACAAAATTTCAAGAATGTGTTCCCCCTAAAGTGTGCACCGTTGCGAAGGTTCGTTGGTTCGTAGCACCACGTGATGATCGGGTGTGATAGATTCCAACGTT